TTCTTCACTGGCAAAGGTGGCCGGCGAGGGCAGATCTGGCCGGCGAGGGTGGCCGATGAAGCGCCGGCGAGGTCGCCCGACCTAGGCGACGGCCGCCTGGGGTCGAGCAACCGCCTAGGCGCCGTCGCCTGGGTCACGCGACCTCGGGCGACGTCAACCTAGGTCGCGACCCAGGCGGCCGTCGCTCGAGGTCGCGCGACCCGGCGCGGCCGTCGCTCGAGGTCGCAGCGACCCGGCGGCCGTCGCCTGAGGTCGCGCGACCCCGGGCGACGCCGCCGAGGTCGCGCGACCCAGGCGACGGCCACCGCTGGAGGTCGCGACCCCGGCGACGGCCGCTTTGAGGTCGCGACCCAGCCGATCGTCGCCCGGGTCGCGCGACCCAGCGGCGGCCTTCGCTGGGGTCGAGCGACCTCGGGCGGCCGTCGCCGCCCGGGTCGCGCGACCTCGGGGCGACCCAGGCGACGTCGCCCGAGGTCGCGCGACCCAGGCAACGCGGCGCTTAGGCGGTCGCCCGACCCCAGGTGGCCGTCGCCTGGGTCGGGTGACCTTGCCGGCCAGATCCGCCCTCACCGACCGTTCGTCGGCCACCCTTGGGGTGAAGAAGATAAACAGTAACAAGGGCAAAACCGGAATAAAGAAATTTGAGTGAGGGCAATTTGGGAAGAGAAAAATAGGCTTCAGCATTTGTAGAATGCTAAAAGCCCAAAGCTGGTCCGGACCGGCTTTGGGCTTTCAGCATTCCAAATGCTACTTTCGGCTTTCCGTTTCTCAAATGCTGAACCAAATGGGGCCGTTACGAGGTTTTACACCCGCTTTGGCTTAAAGCCCTCGAGCTTTTTCCATGTGCAATGGTCGATGGTCATGGACACGACGTCCAGATCATCGTCTGTAGAAGCTGAACTTTTACGTGGCGGGATTCACGAGTGAAATGTAGACAATAGCATTTATGACGCCATTTTTTTTAATCGTTATTGTAAAATGATCATGAAAACTGTAATTTAAATCGATACGAAATCACTAGATAAATAAAACGGTGACTATAAATAACATTAGAGATTTACGTGCTCTGATACCATAAATAACATTAGATATTTACATTAGATAAATAAACGATGACTATAAACCATGGCAAGGGTGACGACCTCCCCGTCGCGAGCTAGGTTGACCATGGTGAGGGCGAGCTTGAACTCGTCCAAATCTAGTGATGTCGAGCCTTGTCATGGCTGACCTCACCCGCGATAGCGAGGTGAGCTCGCCCTCGCTAGCCCTAGCCCCTGACTGGTCCAGTGATCAGCCAGGGGAAGAAGGAAAGCAAAAAAAAAAAGGGGAAAAAAGTAAAATAATTAAAATTTTAAAAAAATAAAAATAAAAAATTGCCATGTCAACGTCGGCCAGTTAAAATTGGCCGAATGAACTGAATTGACACAAATACAAAATGTTTATAACTGAATTGGTAAAAAAAAAATTAATATTAAATTGGCACAATTGCAATATGTTTAGGACTATTTTGGTAATTTTCCCCATCATGCAATGGATGCCATGAATCTCGAAAACCACTAATGGTAGAGGCTGGGAAATGTGGGTTATTGCAACCGCCGAATAGTGGAATAAGGGACTTCAAAAGTAACTTGTAATGCTGGATGTGAAGAGTGGGCAAGCAACCGTCGGGTAGTGATGTTGTGTCCAGGTGTAGACCATTGTTTGTAAATACAAGTTGCAGAATTTCATGAGTTCCGTAAGATGTATTTGATTTTTTTGTGGCTGCTGTTAACTACCAGTAGTAGCTATAAATACTAGAATATAATTCGTGCAAAGGACAACCAATCAACCAATGAACACTAGTTATTCAATTTTACTTCCGGTGTATATTTCAGTAATCTTTTACATGGCTGGATGCAATTGTCTTCAGTCTTGATACTTTTAATTTCTCGTCATTTTATGTATCATGTCCAAGAATCAATAAAGGACTCTTTACAACCTTTGTCAATTTACTCATTGATCCATAGTTTGTCAACACTTTTCGGTGAAACAAAACCAAACCCATCTTATCCCTTCAATTCAGACTGCTACAAACATTCACTTACTTTACTAATTCGCACCGTATTAAACTGAATCTATGTCCTATTAGAATGGCGAGTTGAACTATATTCTAATTCAATCATACTAAAATGGAACTTTAGCGAAACCATGTCCACATTAAGAGGGGATTCGTAGAGTTGCCTTATATCCGAGGTTGACCTAAAGAAAGCCTTCGTATCGATTCAGTTAACATTTTTTTTCCATGTCTTGATATGACAAGGATGGAGAACGTCGACAAAAAGTCATTTGTCCTTAGTTTATCGGTTAGTGTTCTTTTGGGATTTCTCAGTGGACCAATATCAAAAAGGAAGGGACGTAGAATAGTTCACACGTCTAGCCACCATGAATCGTTCAAGTCATGGAATTTCTGTTCTCTCCGTGAAATACGGGCCTAGAATCCAAATATCCAACCTAATATCCCATTGAAAGACTGTTATATCTTCCTCTCATCAAAGTAGGAGGAGATTTTCTTGGACCACCATGATTGGCGGGCTGTTTACCGTGGACACCCTTCCGAGAGTATCCCACTCAGAGTAATCCTAGGGCTTACGCAGATCGTCCCGTCAATGGAATGTTCGTAGACACATGACAGATTTCGTGCATTCATGAGTATCTGTTGATCAGAAAGGCTCGAATAACAGTATTTTATAAATAAAAAACGGATTTACAACTGCTGCAACTACATGCAATACGTGTAGACTATGTATTTAGAGAAAATTGCCATAACATTCGTATAGCGCGAACTTTAGTGCCAAAAATTTTCTTACAGATCTCTTTAGTGCCATTTTGGTGAAAAAAAAAAAAGATTACTTAGGTGCCAACTTTGATTCGTGATGCCGAAAATCCAGTATGACAATATTTTAACTTCTTTTCCAAAAGGCATGACTTGCTGAAAATCCAATGTGGTAATAATTCAGCATAAGTGCTCTAAAATGATGTCGCTACACATGTTTGCCCTAAATTTAACAAAATTGGGGACAAATCGGCTCAAATTTCTCATCTTCTTCAAAGACTAATTCATACCGAAGCATTTTGGGGCAAAATTAAGAACTGAATCTTGCAATGGTCGGTTTCTTCACCATCTTCTTCAAAACCTAACCTCTCAATTGAGGATTTGGGGAAAAATTAGTAACTGAAACTTGCAATGGAGGTCTGCTATTTTATTTGTGTGATTTTGTTTTGCCGGAATTTGAAATTTCCTGGTGGAAGAGGACATCTGCAAACCCAACTCAAATGAAAACTAACAACATTTTTCTTTACAAAGGCCAAACAAAGAGAAAAGGTACAAAAAGAGGATTAGAAAAAAAAAAAAAAACTATACATAAGCATGAGAAAAGATGAGATGAACCCAAGAAGGAGTGAGATCTCCCTTCGAATTGCGTTAGTTTTTTTTTGTCTTTGGGTATTTGCTAGAAGCCCGCCGGTTTATCTGGTACATAGAGAGAGAATTTTAATATGAAATGTGATCATTCTGTCAAGATTGGCCAGGTCATAATCCACATTGGACATCTTTTTTTATGAAAAAAACCACATAGGAGTTACAATTCTATTAAAAAAAAGCTACACATCTAGCCACCATCAATCGTTCAAGTCATGGAATTTCTGTTCTCCCCGTGAAATACGGGTCTAGAATCCAACTATCCAACCTAATATCACATTGAAAGACTGTTATATCTTCCTCTCATCAAAGTAGGAGGATTCGATCAAAAAAAAAAAAAGTAGGAGGAGATTTTCTTGGACCACCATGATTGGCGGGCTGTTTACCGTGGACACCCTTCCGAGAGTCTCCCACTCAGAGTAATCCTAGGGCTTAGGCAGATCATCCCATCAATAGAATGCTCGTAGATACATGACAGATTTCGTGCATTCATGAGTATCTGTTGATCAGAAAGACTCGAATAGGACAAAATAGCCAAAGACACTTTAGCGATCATTTTTCCACCGATGTGGCACTTAAATGATCGCTCGAAAAGTTTTGGTATTAAAGGAAGCCCTGTATGAAAATTAAGGCATTTCGAATGTTCTTTTCCCAATATCTTGTAAGTTGCATCCACTTTCCCAGCTAAGGTAACTAAACTAAAAGTTGTCCCAAATAGCCTCTCTGAATAGCATCGTGTTTATTTGATCGACTTAATTTGTGAAACTTATAGAATGTTTGATGTCCTCAGAGTTTATATGTCCAAGGTGATACCAATAGCTATTTCAAGTATTGGTTATATCTAATAGAACCTATATCATTTTCAAAGTACATGCGATGAGTCTCTTGATTAATCGATACCCTTAGAAGTCTGTGAGAATTATATCTTGGGACAGCAACCTCGAAAAACCAAGTCTACTCGATTGCCACGAATTCCAGCTGTAAATTAATGAAGCAAGCTCGTCTTTGGGTCCCTGGCTTTTACGGGCACGGCATTTTTGATCCAGTCCACTTTTTAGACTTTAGGTAAATGTAATTGGACCACCGTGACCTGTCAAACAGTCACTAACTCCTCCGCCGATGAAGGAAACTATATATCTCAATGACATGCTTAAAGTTCAAATCATGCTAATTTCAACACGAATAAACCATAACCATTGAATATCATCGTATAGATAAATTCTATTGTTATGTCGCACTCGATAGTGTTGAAGTAAGTCGAGTGTAAGATTACGCCGATTTATCCTCATGCCTTTGTCTGTACAACTTATGTAGGTCCGACATATTTGCGTGAATCAAATTACAAAACGAGAAAATGCAGTTCGACTAAGCTTATCGTCTATATAAGCTCAACTTTCACGAGGCAGGATTGACGAGAGAGATGTAGACAATGATCAAAAGAACAAACATTTTCCAAACATTTTCCAAGGGCAGAATTCTAGAATGAAAAATAAAAATTAGAAATAAAAAAAATGAAGAGGCAAACAATACCATACGAGAAAAGGGTAACATAGAACATGACTCAGTCAAGCCCGTAGATTATTACAAGTCTAGGTCGTCGAAGACTTGCACAATTCTTTAGTCGACATTTAACTATTCAATCCCTCTATTTATATGGAGTCTTTGGTAACGAGCTAAAGCACCAAGCTTGAAACCCCACTATTACAAAATATGAGGATCTTCACAATTCTCTCCATTCCCTCTTTCTTCTTCCTACTAATTAGCTGCTCGCCTCTAATTAGCTGCTCGACTCTAATTAGCTGCACGGCTGTCGCTCAATCAGCTAGGTTTGTCATCACCAACAACTGCCCCTACACAGTGTGGGCCGCCGTCGTCCCGGGCGGCGGGAGGCAGCTCAACCGCAGCCAGACGTGGCCCCTCGACATCAATGTTGGCAGGATGACCGGGCGGATCTGGGCCCGCACCAACTGCAGCTTTGACTTGGCCGGCAGGGGAAGCTGCGAGACCGGCGACTGCGGCGGACTCCTCCAGTGCCAGGCCAATGGTGAGTCCCCGAACACGCTGGTCGAGTTCGCCCTGAACCAGTTCAATCAAATGGACTCCATCGACATGTCGCTCATCGACGGGTTCAATGTCCCCATGGAGATCAGCCCGACCTCCGGCGGGTGCAACTGGGTGATCAAGTGCACCGCCGACATCATGGGGCAGTGCCCCGCCGCGCTGAAGGTCCCAGGCGGGTGCAACGGGCCGTGCCAGATTTTCAAGACGGATCAGTACTGTTGCAATTCCGGCAGTTGCGAACCCACCGATTATTCCAAGTACTTCAAAGATAGGTGTCCGGATGCTTATAGTTACCCCAAGGATGATGCTAGCAGTACTTTCACTTGCCCCGGAGGGACAAATTACAAGGTTGTCTTCTGTCCTTGAAGGCATGACTAATAAGCAGCTTCATCCTTACATGATGAGCGAAGTTCCAAGACCAATAAAACCCGGTTATATTCCTTGTAACAGATGCATAAGTCTTCTCTCATTGAGCACTGTGTATAATGTCTAGAGGTGTCAAAACCGAACCGGAACCGAAGCTGAACCGGAATTCCATGCATTTCTTGTCCCAAAGGCACAGGGGCTATGATCTCACGAGTCCCTCTCCATCGACCACCTTCCCCGTTAGCCGCTTCCGCTGTTGACGCCGACGCCTCCCAGCTCGCCATCGCCCATCGAAAGCCTTGGAGTCATCGCCCGCCGCCATCACTCGCTTGTGAGCCACCCCCCCCCCCCCCCCCTCCCTCTCAACCAGCCTCGTTTGAACCGTCGTCGCCATGGCTGTGCCGGCCTCCCTCGACCTCAGATCAAGGTCCCCCATGGCAGTTCGCGACTACCAATCGATGTCATGAGCCACAGTGAGGCCGATCGAGGCGGCAAGGCTCACCATGTCAGATCTAAGCCACGAACAGCACTTTGTACCCAAAAAGCAAGCGACATTGAGAGATTACAATGGAGAAAGGAAGAGAGAAGATTGGTGACCATAGGGGGAGGGAGGTCGGCAGTGGTTGTGACGGCAAGAGGGGTCGGGTCGGGTCGATGGTGGCAATGGCTGAAGCTAGGGGTGTCAAAAGAATCCGCTCAAACATGACCCGACCCGAACCAAACAAGAAATTTTTGTATTGGGTCGGGTTGAGCCTTAACTTGTTTGGGTAACAGTAAAAACAAGGCTTCAGCTTGTTTTGGATTTACCCGAGCATGCCCGATACAAGCCCACCGGAGACAAACAAGAACCATTTGATCTTCTTGCTTACAAGCCCACCCGAAACCCTATCATCTTCTTCTAGAGCTCCGGATCTGCAACTGGCAATCAATTAGTGCGACGCGGAGGCAACTGGCGGCAACGATCGGCGTCTTCGCCGCCGACGCCACCCTGAATGCGGTTGGCATCCACCTCTCCTACGCCAACGTCGCTTCTCAGCAAACCCGCGCCAAAGCTCGCAGCGACTTCGTCAAGTCTCGCCTCCGGAAGCTCCTCGACGATTGACCCTCTTGACCCGCTGCCCCCGGCCCCAACCACAAGTGACGATTTCTTTCTTCCGGTGAGCATCGCCATCTTTCAATTAATCCCCGACGAGCTTTGAATCTGCGGTGTTCCTGCTTCTTCAACGGCATGGTGCTTGGGTGTGTTGGATTGACTCTCTTTTCGGAGTGGAACTTGATTAGATCAGCTCCAAGTTGGCTTTTTTTGCTTTTGTTTGTCGAAGAATGGGGAACCCATCTGTTGATTCACTGTGCCTTTCGAGGTGTTCTATGTATGCGTGTTCATCTCATTTTGCATCAGCCGATTTTGCGTGTCATACCAACTGTTCGATAAAATTACTGAGTCAACTGGTTCAGTCCTCGAGCGATGGGGAGGTGGCTAAGATTCAGGGATTCGATTTCGCGGAATGGTTGAAAAGCACGGTTACATAGAAGGATTTCGTGGTGATGAAGATGGATGTGGAGGGGACTGAGTTCGATTTGATTCCGAGGCTATTCGAGACTGGGGCTATCTGTTTGATCGATGAACTGTTTCTCGAGTGCCATTACAACAGATGGCAGAGATGTTGTCCCGGTGAGAGAAGTTCCAAGTACGAGAAAACATATGGGCAATGCTTGGACCTTTTCACATCCGTGAGACAGAGTGAAGTTCTTGTTCATCATTGGTGGTAGTAACTCTTGCAAATGAGCAACATTATTGCCAATGCTCACCACGTATGTTTTCTTTGATGCTGTGATTCTCCTCTTATAGTGGCATTTATTGTATTGCTTCAGTTTAGGCTTTTGTCCTGGATTACTCAATGTATGAAGTGCTGTAGTGAAATAGCTCGAATGAAATCCAACGAATGCATGGTTTCTCTTGCAATCGAATTGAATGTGTACTCGTTCTGCTCATTTTGCAGCTTCTCTTTCCGCTTATGTACTGGTTAGGCATGAATGTGTACTCGTGTGGCCTTCGTTTGCTTTTTTTTGCCAAATCGAACTCGGAATGCTGCTTTACTTCATGTTATGAAACATTTGCCGGAATGAGGGACCGAAATCTCCCGAGACAACCTTTGTTTTCGAGCTGGAAAGTAAATATAAAAGCAGAGTTTAGGACTGCACCCTCACAGACAAATGATGCAAAAGTACCACATTTGGGAACAAATTTAGCAGTAAGGTCGTGCATGAAATGTGAGGAACAATTCTTTCAAGAGGATAGCAAACCTCTAAACCCGAACCCGAACCGACCCTACCCGACCCGAACCCGATCCAATTGTGCGGCTATATCATGTTTGGATCTTGTTTCGGGTCGGGCCAAGCATATATATTCATTGTTTCGGATCAGGTCGGGTATCGTGAAAACCCGACCCGACCCGACCCGTTGACACCCCTAGCTGAGGCTGGGTGCAGGAGCAGTTGGCCGTGGAAGGTGGTTTGTAGTTGGTGGGGGTTGGGTGTGGGAGGAGAGGATGGGAGATCGTGGATGATGGGGGATTTGGTTTTTTCCCAAGCTGTGAGCCGTGGAGAAAAAAAGCAAAAAAAAGGAAAAAAAGAAAAAACTGGAAACCGAAAATCAATCAGAGCCGAACCAAATCCAAACTAGGTTTTTGGTTCGGTTTATATTCGGTTTGAGTCGAGATTCGGTTCTGTTCAAGTGTACACTTCAACGGTTCGGTTTTTTTCGAAAAACTGAATCGAACCGAACTGTTGATACTCCTAAATGTGCGGGGAGAATAAAAAAAAATGCATGTAATTTCCCATGGCAATGTTAAAAAGTAGTTCTATTTTCTGTTTGTTCAATTTTTTCCTCTTTTTTTGTTTTTTCTTTCTTTCTTTATTTTCTTTTTATTTTTCTACCAAGTCCAGCGAGGGACGCCGGCCGACCCTCGGCAGTCACAGGCGAGGGTTGGCGAGTCGCCGGCCATTGGGCGAGGGTCGTAAACCTCACCCGCGGCCGGTGAAGGTCTGCCGACCCTCGCCTATACCGACAAGGGATGGCCAGTGGCCCTCGGCAAGCTTGAAAGAAAATTAAAAAGAAAGAAAGAAAGAAAGAAAGATAAAGAAAAGGAGAAAAAATAAAAAATAAAAATCTAAAAAATATTATTAAAAATTATCTAGATCAGCGTCAGTCGTGTCACGTAGGACGACTGGCGTCCACGTCAGCAATGATTTTGATGATAACAAAATCCAAGCCCATGTTGGAATATGTCTCTAAATGGTTTTGATGATAACAAAACTTAATCCGAATATCTACTGAAATTATTTAAGTGTGCAGGGTTCATATTTGGGATAATGACACAAACAGTCTCTGAACTTTGGCTCAATATACAATTTGATCCTTGAACTTTTAATTTGTTCAATGTAGTCCATGAACTTGAGCCTAATGTTCAATGTGGTCCATAAACTTTTAATTTATTCAATGTGGTCCCTGAACTTTTAGTACATGTTCAATTTAGTCCTTGAACTATATAAAAATGTACAATATAGTCTCTGAACTTGAATTAATGAAAAGACTACATTGAACATTTTTATAAAGTTCAGGGACTATATTGGATATGTACTAAAAGTTCATAGACCACATTGAACAAATTGAAAGTTTAGGGATCACATTGAACATTGGATTAAAGTTCATGGCCTATATTGAACAAATTAAAAGTTCATGGACTAAATTACACATTGAGTCAAAGTTCAGGGACTGTTTGTGTCATTTTCCCTTCATATTTAAACCGTGAAAAGTCTATGTCCTAATTCTGCCAGCATTTGAGTCAAATTACACTAAAGTCTAGAAATTCTACGGAATAAAGGGTGTCTAATAGCTAAGTTTTGCAAAACAGTGAAACTTGATCGTCGCGTATCTTTCATATATGGGTTTGATGACTATTGGAATTTCTAAATTGAAGGCCCACTCACGACATTAAAGTATGATGTTCCAGTGTTATTTATGCCAGAAATCACATACATATTCGGTTAATAGATTGGTGAGGCGATGTTGTCAAAACTTGCCATCATTAAAAGAAGATGACATGTCTCAATAGAAACCTAACTGACAGCTCGGATTCATGGAAGGTTTTGCACATGTTTTTTAATGATTTTTTTCAAGACTCTTTTTATAAAGAATTAGATGGACATAATGGCTACATGATACAAGTGGGTCGTTCGAATTTGGAGCTTTACAAATTGGAGAAAATTCAGCCAGAAGTGATATAAATGAGAAGGGCCAAAGCAAGAGATTTTGAGCAATGTTGAGAGGTTTTTGAGTCCGTCTCTTTTGTAACCTTGTCCACTCCGTTTTTTTTCCTCTTTTCAGATGATAAAAAGTGACGACCCATACACGGGAGAAATTATTGTGCTTAAAGTGAAGACATTTGTTTGGATGAGAGACAAAAGTTATGTGATGACTCCTTGTGAGTACTTAAAGTGAAGACATTTCCGCTGTTTACAATACATTACTAGTTCACTTCGCGCATAGAAGCAATATTTTAGTGGGCTTGGTTCTACCAAATTACTTAGTGATTTCTTGGAAAACCAATTCACCCCCTCCTATTCATGTTTTGCCCATCTAATGACCAATTCTACCTTGAAGATGATTAAAGGTTATAAATGCTAGTCAGACCTAGGCTACAAAAGAAATGCGAATTGCCAAGTATATGGTGAACACAATTTCGGATAGTTTGATATATATAAATCAAGATTCATAAAATGTTTTCATTATTTTCTTGGTAATCTTATCAAGATAACTTCTCAATCGGATAATCTCTCGAGATATTCCAATTACCCTATCACCGAATGTGGAATGAGGATGTAAAAGCTTGATTCTTATAGCCCGTTTGGTATAATCACGGTAGTACATTAGTTGGGCTGGGATATGATTGTGCTGCGAAGTGTTGTCATTTGTGTTTGTGGCGATACATGTTTTAAAATTACAATACCTAAAAATTGGGTGAGTCCGGCTTCTTAAAAGGTAGAGTAAGCTATTGAAATTGCGAGGTGTTTGTAAAAACACCTTATAAAAACTGTAGCCTTTTCACGACTAATGTTGCTAGGTAAAATTTATACTAAGTAATGTCCAAGTATGTGATAAATCATAATTAGACCATCAATCACAGCACGAGCTTCAATTAAATCATTTCAGGTTATTAAATTGTTCTTAGTACAATGAGTTTGTTAAATAAAAAATATTTCCTTTTATATTCTTCGGTGTTTGTTAACTTACAACGGGAGGTCAAAACCTATGTGCTCGGCGAATAAAATAAGATGAGTAAGGCCAGATATACCAAGATCAACCCAATAAATCAGCGTACGAAAAAACAAGGCAGATCAATTAATAATAGGTATTTTGGGCTGTGTTTGTTTGCGGAAAAATATTTTTCCGGAAAATATTTTCCGCGTTTTCCGGTGTTCGGGGGCGGAACATTTTCCTTCCCCCCCAAATCCTTCATTGTTTTGAGGAAAATAATTTCCTCTTTTCACAAAGAGGAAATCATTTTCCCCCAAATTGAAGGCAAAATTGCTCATGGGAGGGAAAATATTTTCCGTGGGAGAGGAAGTTGATCGCCGGTCACCACCATTGGCCGCCGGCCGCCGCCGGCCCCCGCCGCCGGCCCCCCGCAGCCGCCGCCGCCGCCGCCGGCCGCTGCCGCCCGCCGCCGCCGCCTGTGAAAAATATTTTCCGAAACTTTTTCATATTGGTCGAACACCGGAAAATTATGTTAGTGGAAAACATTTTCCAGGAAAATGACTTCCGGGAAAATATTTTCCGAAAGAAGAATTTTTTCCGCCAAACAAACGGAGCCTTAAAGAAATAAATCAGTACTGTATAAAAACTGTCCTGCACTTGTTATAAAAATCCAATGCATGTTGGATTCACCCTGCACAAATCAGTCCAATGCATCTCTACCGTTGGATCTCGTGGGGTACACATGCTGCACGTGCGCCTAACGGATCCGGGCACTACCTGAAGGACGAACGTGCTTGCCAGCGTGGCAGAAGCACGGGCCCGCTGCCTCCCACGTGGAACACCTTCATTGGCCCCGCACGGGGACTGTTTGAAGTCAACCGGGGTCTCCTCCTTCTTTCTCGGCTGGACGGCCGGCCTCCTGTCCCCGCCGATCCGGTTCGTATCCCGACCGGTTCTTCCCGTGACAACCTGGGTATAAATATCCCCGCAAGTCCATTTCTTCGTCCCACGTTTGATTCATCGTCGTCCTCGTCGTTCGAAAGATCCCAGAAACCCAACAAAGGTGGTCGAATCTTCTCTGTCCGTCCGTCCGTCCGGTCCGGAAACGAAAATGCCTCAGGGAAAGCTGGAAGTCCTCCTCGTTGGCGCCAAGGGCCTCGAGAACACGGAGTTTCTCAGTATGTTCCTGGCGTTCTCGTCTTCCTTTATGATTGTTAGATGAATATTTTGGAGTATATACTTTCTTTTGCGTTGTTTTTCTCAAATGGGTTTGTCGTGATCGTCGGGTTTTTGGTGTTGCGAAATCTGAATCTCGGTTCTTCTGGATCTTGGGTTGGCATGGTTTTGGATCTTGGAACAAACGATGTGTGCGTGTAGTATTTTTCACCCACGATGGAATGGAAATGATGGCCGCGAAATTGATCCTGAGGACCACTGATGAGGAGTATTTGATGAGGTCATTGTAGAATATGGTGATTTTTCAGATGGTTCTGATCATTTTGTAGCTGGATTGGGCTGCTATGATCATCCTGTTTCTTTCAGTAGATCCATGGAACAGTGGTCTTGGCTATTGTTTATCTGCTCTGATCCAACGATCGATGACTGATTGTCATCGTTATCATCATATTACGAGCCCTCATTTCCTCTATATCAATTAGATTTGACATGGAGATACATGCTACATCGTATATGGCTTGAATTGTGAAACTGCAATTTCCTGCAAGATCTATATTTACATACTGATAAAATGCGTGAATCAAAAACTTTGACGAAGTATGAGAAACTGAGGAGTTGTAGTACATTAATTCCCAGACCGAGAAAATTAACTCCGTTTTCTCTCTTTTTTCTTGGGTTTTGATCAGTGGTTATTGAATATTAGCTATGCCTGTTCAAGGGGTGCTTCGTTTAGTCAATGTGGTTCCTTTTTAAAAAATTATTGTAAACTCAGTTTATATCCTCATCCTGCATAGACTTTGCTGTTCTAACAAAATACATTTTGGGCTTTTATTTCTTTTGATTCTTAATGTGTAGGTAAAATGGACCCCTATGTCATCATTACATGCCGCACTCAGGAGAAGAAAAGCAGCGTTGCATCAGGTTGGCACCTTTTAGATTCATCATTTTGTTTGCTTGAGTTTGATTACTGATAGTAGAAAAACTAAGTGGCATGCTATCTGTAAATGCATTGGCAACTTATATCTTGTCGAGCTTTAGGGCCTAATATGCAATTGCACTGGAAATTTCAATGGGCATCGTCCTGGTTGATGTATCATAAATATGCGTACTGAAACATATATGTTAAAACTTCTCCGAAATAAATACTGCAGGACAAGGGGCCGAACCAGAGTGGAATGAAACTTTCCTGTTCACAGTATCTGAGGGAGTTTCAGAGCTCAAATTGAAAATAATGGACAGCGACAACTTTTCGTCAGATGATTTTGTAGGCGAAGTAACGTGAGTATTCATCCAGAAAGTATTTATCCCGATTTCTTGTTTATTTCCCTAATCAGTCTGCGTGACGTTGATTTTCATCTGCTACAGCTCTTTGCTTCAGCTGATTGTCTAGAAGTTCTGCCTATAACTAACCAAAGAAATAAGACATTGTCAATTGACCGCAAAATGCAGTTATGGGGAACTGTTACTGATGCTTCTGCAAGTTTCTAGACGAATTTCCAATTATACTTATACAAGCATCACACTCATTTAGATGTCAATTGGCTTTTACCATAATTCAATAGATCAGAATCGGCGGATGACTAATCATTCTAGAGACACAAAGAATCAAGATCTTAGGAGAAGAAATAGCAAGTTTGAGAATAGAACTCAATGGCTCAACTCATTCAAAGTGATGCAACAATCTTTTTTTTTGCAATGCAAGAATGATCAAGTGACTTTCATATTTGGTTTTTCGGGTTCTTGCAGGATTTCTTTGGAGCCAGTCTTCGTGGAAGGTAATGTGCCCCCAGCGGCATACAATGTGGTCAAGGACGAAGAATACTGTGGAGAGATTAGAATCGGTCTTACCTTTACTCCCGAGGTAATTCTCTGCATTCGACCTCTCTTTCCATTATTATTTTGAAGGAAATGCAAGAATGGTTCAAGAGATTGCCATAGCAACAAGGAGTGCCTATCAAAACTTATGTTGACTTTGATGCTGATCATAGTCCTGTCTTGGTCATACTTGACGATTGAGATGGTGCTAACCTCTTGATTCGATGGGAAAGAAGATTGAATTTTATTGGCTGATTTTACATTTATTGACTCTTGGCCCTTCATCACAGGAACGCAATGAGCGAGAATTTCAGCCAGAGGAAAGCTATGGCGGATGGAAGGAGTCTTCATTTGACTGAGCAAAGACCCAGTCTTGCAGTTGCTTTGAAGTTACTTCCATTTGATGCATCCTGAAAGGCAAAGAACAATGTGGTTCTCATCTATACTCTTTCCCTTTTGTGGATAATAACGGAGGTTGAGCGGATGTATTTTGAATTTCGATGCTACAGATTGGGATCTTTTGTTGTGTGATATCTGATGAAACGCCTTGAACTAGTGTGCTTGCGTTTTTAGAATCTTTGTTTCTGGTTCACCATTCATTTTCCACGTTGTGCTTGCGCACCCGTGTTTGAGTATCTTGTCTTATTTATGGTGATGAGGGTCGATGGAGAGAAATAATGAGAAAGACAAGTGACTGAACAGTAATCTAATTGAAATGGTAGGACTTCCACGCTAGCAATGGAGTCAATTTTCAAGAAGCTGGTAATCTTTAACAAAAAGCTTGTTCTGATATTGTGTTTGCGATTCACTAATATTCCAACAATGTATTGGAATATATGATGTCTGGAGATAAAGAATGGTATCAACTTGGATTATCGCGAGTTTAATCTGGTAACAGTTGCACACTTCATGGTGATGATTGATTTCGACGTTGAACTTGACCTGGATCGTGCAAACCCAATTTGAGAGATTGTAGACAGACTGAAAATCTGGTCTTTATCATGTGGACCACCGTAACCCTCGCATTAAGGAAAGATAAAGACTGCTTGAGGTTAATGCCTTGAGACTGCTTATCTCCATCCTTACCCGTTTCAAAGAATGCAGATAATTTCTCATGGACTCGTTCAGAATGATTATGACCGATTAGCAATAGAAGGCGCTATCAGTAGTATCGTTGTGGAAAGAAACATGAGATTCGCAAAGCTACTCGACCTAGGTTTGATCAGGTCAGCTTAGTAGAGCGACGAATGACGGGGTCAATATTCTCATGTTTTAGCAAACAAGTTAGTGAATCCTTGTGCTTGTGTATCATTTGTCCTTTTCAACTTGGAGACTTTGCTTAATAGAGCAAAATAGGAGGCGTCATGTGATCGAATAGTCGAGACTCTCACCCGCGATGTGTGAGCTCTCAAAATGGATCTAAAATCTGCAAATGTACTAACAATCTTGCTGCTGATTCCCCCGTCTAATTGCTCTATTTATAGAATATGTAGACAACTGACCCGAACCAAACCGTGAAATATGGTTCGAGACAGCTGTTTTGGATCGTGTTATCGGGTCGATCCTGTTTTTTTTCACACCTCTACGGATCATAACAGCTTCATATTCACCTTAAGCTATTCTATGGCACATTCCACGCTAATCTCTTCATTTGCTCACGCTATGGCAAGCTAGTTCTCTCTCTCTCCTAGGAGTAGGATGATGCAAAGAGTCACAATCTTACCTGTTCTTACTGGAAAATCTATCAACGACTCTCGCATCACAGGTCAGGCTGACCTATCCACAGTTCCCTAATTCTATATAACATCTTTAATAAATTTCTGAAACCTATTTATATATAAAAAGTGGAATTTGCTCAACCAAGCATTCCTTAAAAACCCTTTTCACATTTTTTCCCTTCTTTTCGTCATGGAACGTATGGGCTGATCAAGTCCTTCCCAATGGCATCGTTTGACCACTTGAGAGATCAGATCAAAGAGCAAGAAGACACAGTTGATTAGAAGATTATGCATTAAGGTTCAAAAAGAGCCAAAATGATGCAATGTTCTTTTTTTTTCCTTACCCTCACCCAGGCCACGGCGGCCTCGTCGGACGTCGCCTTGGCCTAGGCGACATCGGGCGAGGCAGGCGAGTATCGCCCTTGTTGGCCACCGCCTGTAGTTAGTGATCGTTCCTCAGCCATCGGCAAAATGAAAGGAAAAAAAAAAAGAATGGAAAAAAAAGAAAAAATCCAGATAATTTATTTAAAAATCATTTAAAAATGTCTACGTTAGCGCCGGCTGTCCTACATAGCACTACTGGCGTCCACGTTAGCGATTTTCAGTCAAAATTGATCGGATGAACTCAATTGGCAAAATGTGAAAAATGTTTATGACTCAATTGGCAAAATCAAAAGGTTTAGGACTGAATTGACAAAAATGCAATAGATTTATAACTTTTTGGACAATTTTTCTTAATTAAATATAAAAAGTGAAATATAATTGATTAACCAAGCATTCCTTAAAACCCCTTTTCACATTTTTCCTCTTCTTTTTCATCATGGAACGTATGGGCTGATCAAGTCCTTCCAAATGGCAACGTTTGACCACTCGAGAAATCATATTAGAGGGGAACGTGGTCCGGGCGGGCGGTTCTCGACATGGAATTGGGAATAACCCACTAAGGACCGGTTCTGACAAATTGGAACCGGGAACCGCCCGGCGGTCGGGTTCCCGGGTGGGTCCATGGAACCGGTCCCACCAAGTTTCACGCAAATGGAGGTGACTGAGAGTGAGAGAGGGAGGCGATGAACGGTTAAAGGCGCGGCCGTGAGTTGATGGGAGTTGAGAGTTGAGCTTTAGATTAGGGATTTTATGGTTTTCATTTTTCTAAAAATGTTTTCTTTTTTTTTTTGGTTAAAATTTTTTTAAAAAATTATATATATATTTATATTACTGGTCCGGTCCGGGTGGGTGGGTGGGCGGTTTCACGCCTAGAACTGGGAACCGGACCGGTACTTACCGGTTCTAGTGAATTAGAACCGGGAACCGGACCGGTCCTCACAGGAACCGCCGGTTCCGGGCCGGTCCGGTCCGGTTTCGGGCGATCCGGGCGGTTTCCGATTTTTTTACACACCCCTAGATCAGATCAAAGAGCAAGAAGACACAGTTGATTAGAAGATTATGCATTGAGGTTCAAAAGGAGCCAAAGTGATGCAATGTCCTCTACCTCTGGCCTATACAATAATGACGCAGCAATCAATTAGTAAATTATAGGGGGACTATGGAGGTTCTTTGTTTTGACTTCATTAAACAAATTGCTGTACTGGCTGCCAAAACAGTGCTAGTCGGTGGCAAAACATAATTTAACGTTTGATTTTTTGGGTTTTAGTGTAACTTAATTATTTGCATTTTTGTCAGGAACCTCACCCCGTCCGCTTTTCAAACCCTTTGTTCTTTCTTCTTGTATGATGCAGAATTTTCTCATTAGTCCAAGACTTAGATTCGTCCTTCCCTTTCGACCAAAAAAAAGATTTGTCCTTCCCAACTAACCTTTCCACTTGGATTTGTTTTCTATCATCATAGATGTTGATTTTTCCAATTGCAAGTGCCGACCGGTGACCGGAGGCAGAGCCGACCGGTGACCGGACCGGAGGCAGGCATAGTAGTGTTTCCATTTCTTGTGTATTGGATGGATCAGGAATGAACAATTTCTACCAATATATTCTTCAACCTTTTGTGAACAAAACCCCTTCGGTAACGATTCTGTACAGTCGAAAATTAGCAGGAATTCCAATGAGAAATTTTGCAAATAGTTCGAAAAGATATCAAAATTCATCTCAAGATGCAAAGTCATGATCTCTCCAATTTCAATCAACATATCTTCTATAGAACAGTGTCTACTATACACCCTTCACAAATTACAAAAAAGAACAGAAGATCACTATGAACTGCAAAACTTAGCATCACAAAGACCAGCTCTTGGTGTCGGAAGATCAAGGCGCTGGCCGATCAATTATGCAGAGGGTTCGGCCCGCCGGGCGTGGTTCTCATGGAAGCGCCCAACATCGGGTCGGCGGCGCGGTCCCCATTCGATCCAGCAGTAGCTTTACCCCAGTGATGCAACTGCAGCGCATACAAGGACCGGGAGCGAAAATCCGGCCTCCTCGAATGATACTTGAGAGGCTCTTCTTGACAACGATTGCTCGCGAACCTGTCGATGCTTCGGCAACTCGAGAGCCGAGAAACGAACAAGATGGTCATCAAGAGGAGAAATGGCAGCTTCCTGCTATGTGTCCTCATGATCTTTTCTCAAGGGATTGATCGACGAAAGAAGATGGAAGAAAGGATGTGGACAGAGAATGAACTGAAAGAAGAGTTTTGGGTCAGTGATACAATGCGCAGAGGCTCTAAAGTTCAAGTCTTTTAAAACGGGATCAAGCCAATACTAGTTAGTGGCGTGGAAGCAGCCAAAAGCCAGCAGCATGTTCCTCGTGCAATGACGGAAAACACCCCCGCCCCCGATGGCTTTTGGAGAAGTGAAAGGCTATTATCGTCCTTCCGCTGCTACACGGCAGGTTTTTGTTTAAGCCGAGACCCGGTTGTTCAAGAGTTATCATCGTTGACTTCACATTAAGATCAAGTTGGACGCTCCTACGCATGCTTAGTCTGCGTTTGCTGCAATGAAAATTAGGGGAGGTGAAGACCCAGGATTCGTTGGACGACACGTGGCGCGAGGCGGCCACGACAAGTGGCGTGCGATCTCTGCGCTACTCATTTGCTTCGTCGCATGTTCTTGCTACTATGGAGTCCATAGGGGTTATAATATTAATTTGCAAGGACGGCCATGGTGTAAATAAGGACTGATTATTTAGTATTCAACATGAGATTGCACGATGGAGAACTTATGTGAAGTTTCAAGCTATCGACGGCCAAAAGCCAAGGAACAATCTCAAGTAATGGAAGCCTCGTCAGGCCCAACCGGTGGCCCCGCCGGGCCCGCCGTACGTCATGGCGCGGTGGGAGCGGGGCCTTCTTATGGCCCATGTCCCCAACCTGGTAGTACTTGTCCTGGCCGGCATACGTTTCGGTTTCTTCGGCAGCCTCTGTGTCGTGGTTCTCGTTAATGGTGGTCATGTCCTGACAAGAGGCGTCGTACAGGATGTTGGGCAGCGGCATGGCGGCACGTCCCATGGGCGGGCTGGGGACATCCGGCGGGCTGTACACTTGGCCTCCCCATTCAACGTAAGTGGCCAAGTCTCGCAAGCCGCCGCCACCGCAGGAGAATATTTCTTGCGGCCAAAACCCAACCACCGTGTAGTTTTCGCCAAGCTCTAGCCACCACGATCCACTAGCCGGATCCTGTACACATACATACACACATGTATAAGAAAGAATGCTGCGGCAGGCTACAAGGACGGATTATAATGTGGAATTTTGATATGAAATAGATGGAAAAACATAAAGGAAATCTGTTTTGAAACACCCAAATCTGACTCGATCAATGAAGTAATTATACGTGTACACCGGTCCTTGGGTGCGAGAGATGTTCTGCAGAACCGCGTCCCACCGGGTGGTCCGAGCGCGCGAGAACGAACCCCTGACATTGCGCATTGAAGCAAGACAACTGGACCGTTTGTACACAAACTGAAACGAATAATCCGTTCGCTACCGTGTCGAAAGAAGAATAGAGTATCGCGAACGCACAAAAAACTCGCCTTTGTGAAAATGAAGAGATGGGTCTGGTAATGCGAGTATAAGGATGGATTTACTTGGGGAATCAAATGTTCACGAGCCAAAAGTTAGAGCTGAATCACAGCAACATCTCCTCACATTACAGTTTTACATAGCAAATTAGCACGACATCTCAAGATTACATTCGGATATCATCACTATCGTCAAGAGGAACATAGGACAACTGAACAGTTGATCAAAGAATGAAATGAAAAGTGTGGCTGACTTGACTTGATTCAGCTGCTTACCATCCACCCAGCTTGAATGAAATCAGGGCCATTCTGGATCTTGATTTGGCCCCCACTGTACTGGGATCCCTTGGACCACGGCATTTCCACGCTGCTGACCATTCCCCCTCCATTGTACTTCTTCTCGGAATCAAATTTGGTCCGAACGACGGCAAGCTGTAACAAAAACATAAGTAGCGCTTTCACATTATCTATGTCGTTGTCGTCTTTTCCATTCTTTTTCAACGAAAGATAAGTTGGAAAGTGCGTTTATGTTTTGCTTTTTTGAAAAAGGGTTCGGAGGGGGGTAGGACCTTTCTCGCGCGCTATTGAAATTTTCTGTTTATGGCGACAACGAGCCCATCGCCACAGCCTCAATGGGTGCGAGTGGGGAAGCCCACCACCGGAAATGTACTTACGCCCAGACCCGTCCTTCGCAAACTAATCAAGGTCTCTGGAGACCAATCATGACTCTTGACTTGCAAACCAAGTTTCGAATCATCCAGCCAATTACATGATAGGGTTGAACAGTGCTAGTCAGTTATTTGCACTTGTCTAATTGAAGAGATTCATGAGATCCTCAATGTCCTAAACCAAACAAGAATATTTTTCCTTTGTGAAAAAAAAGAACAAGTAAAACCAATATTCCTTCCACGTAATTTCTAGTATAGTGATAGATGGCTTTGTGCATAGGTAAGTCTACTATCCGTTTTGGTCAAAGATATTGCATTCGCGTCGAAACTAAATGATTCACGAGGAATTACTTTCTTGTACCATGGCGTCAAGCGGCTAACCCAAATGGAAATCAAATCACAAACTCCGATTGCTTCTTCTGGTGTAAAGTCGTGATTGTCTTATCGACTCGATCAATGCCTTTAAGGAAGTCCTCTTCCCAAAACATAATGTATTATATAGTAAGGAACGATTACTGACTTACATGAAGGCCATGTGCCTCTTCAGTGTTCGGATCGGCATTCAGATCACGAACTTTGGCCTGCATTCTGGCCGCAATAAGTTCTTCTTCACTTGTTCTTCTGATCGGAACTGTTCCAAAAATTGGGAAAACTAAAGTCACTGATGTCAACATCGACTGATTAAGAGATAAGAGGAAGTAGATACAATGCGAGATCTGCAGTCATTACCATCATTGACTGGCGAGGAGGAGTCCAAAATGGGGATAATAAAGCTAGTTTTGTCCGATTAGTAAGTGGTTCGACAAGTCTAGCATAGTCAAACCAACTCGTGTGGCTCTCTTGCCCCTAAACCCTCTTTTGTTACGTTAGAATTCGGCGCACAATCACAAGATAATAGAGAATAAAAGCGAGAAAATGAAATTCAGATACAAGATTTTATCATGATTCAGCTTTAAATTAGAACTACATCCCAGCAGATGATTTCGCTATAATTAGCACATCCAACTTCTATGTTACAACTCTCAATGACAAGAGAAATATATTACATATACTCAGTAACTATTCATAGGCCCAAATCTAAACAAGCGGGACCTCTGTGCTTTCTTATCAATGGGGAGTATGAACCACACCTCCAACATATTACTAATAGAGGGATTTAGAGTTTGTCTTCCTCTGGGAAAGTGCTTGGAACTTGCCGAGCTAATAAGTTCGGGGGTACCTTGGTTTGAGCTTATTTGGTTCAGTCCTTGGATTCCGAGGCATAATGCTTCGTCTCTTGATTAGCCATGCATAATTGTTTAGCCACAAGAAGCAGATTGGTGAAGTAGAACTCGCAAATCTATTCACTCTGCTGTTTTGATGCTCGATATCCATCCGATCCGCTCATTTGATCAGGTCTAATACTGATTATTGAAAAGACCCACCCCCTTTCTTAATTTTGGGTCAATCGTACCCCAAAAAGAGTTACCACTCATCAGGGGCCTCAAAAAGTGAAGCCTCGTCTTTGTAGGGGTCCAATGATAATTAAAACAAAATTCAAGGGCCGGCTTGAAAATTCCCCGCTTCTTAAATTACCAAAATGGCCCTTAAACCCTGTCTATTCTTCTTCTTCGTCTTCTTCCCGCTAAAACCCTAAAACCTCAGCGAGCGAAACTCGCAATCATGCTCTCGTCTCTCCTTCGCGAGCATCGCTTCCGCCTCTCGAGCCTTCTGGAATGCTCCGGAAGCCTCTCGAGCGTCATCTTCTCCAGGTCCATGGGAGGGGGGCCGCGCACGTTCCCGGGCGGCTTGAACAAGTGGCAGTGGAAGCGGATGCACGAGAAGAAGGCCAGGGAGAAGGAGAAGCGGCTCCTCGAGCAGGAGAAGCAGCTCTACCAGGCTCGGGTTCGGTCCGAGATCAGGGCGAGCATCGCCGGCGGGCCGGACGCATCGGGGGATCGCGATCCGGCGGCGACCCATGGCCCCATGTCCCCGAAGGACCATGTCAAGGCCCTGGCCGACCGGTTCATGAAGGAAGGGGCGGAGGACTTGTGGAATGAGGACGACGGTCCGCCGAAAGATCCCCCGCCGCCGCCGCCGCCGCCGATGCGGCCGGCGAGTGTGCGGTCGGGACCGATCAGGTCGCCGATTGATTTGAGGAAGTTGGTGGAGGGGCATGGTGGTGTTGTTGTTGGTAATGGCAAGGATGTGGATTGGAGAGGTTTTGGTGGGGCCAATCATGTGGCGAGTAGGAAGTACTCGGTGGTGAGTAATAGGAGGTTCCGGAGAAATGAGAGTTCCTCGAGCGAGAGTGATTCGGCCGGTAATTCAAGGGATGATCGATTTAAATCGTCGCATGGTTTGGAGGCTAATCGGGCAGACTTTGAGGATTCGAGGAGTGTTGGTGGTTTTATGAAAAGTAGGAACTTTTCACGGCAAAGGAAAAGGGTGTATTTCAAGAATGATAGTGATACTTCTTCTGGTGATGACGAATCAGAGATTGACATGGCAGATGATGTGGGAAGGCCCCAAGCTAGTAATTTGAGGTGGCCAAGATTGAGTGCGGGTGGAGATGGGTCGCGGGATGAGGTGGAGGAAATGAATGGAGGCACAAACATGAGGAAGAGGGGAAGTAGCGCTTCTCTCGGGAAGTATGATATCAAGATTAAGAAGAGGGTGCCGCTGAAGTTTGTCGAGGAAGAGACTAATTTTTCACAACATGTAGAGTTGATTAGGCATGAGCTTAGCAAGAAGAAATTGGCAGAAAATCAGGGTAAAGACGTGGACGAAGTTTCCATTTTAACTCAAAAAAGGTATAATAGGCCTTTCTCCATATGAATATCAAGTCAAAAATCGATTTCTTTAGTTCCCGTGTAATTGTTTGAGTGGCATAGAACAGTGTAATTGAGTGCACAGAAGATTATTACATGAAAAATGAGTGGATTGGTTGATGTATGGGATTTTGTTTCCAAAAGACGGCTCATCAGTTCACTGAATTTCTTGAAATGAAAAAGTTCAAAGCTGTTGGATCAAATGATGGTTCAACTGTGGGTTTTATTGTGTGCCCTCTGGTCATTTTTGTGTTTCCTTTTTCCAGGTTTGATGAATGTGACATATCACCATGGTCGATTAAGGCTCTTTCATCAGCTGGGTATGTTCGAATGACCAAAGTGCAGGAAGCTACGCTCTCACTTGATGGTAGTAGCTACCTTATCTTGTATATTAATCACTATGTTGCCTTTTTTAGGGCTAAATCAGCACATTGATAAAGCACAAGTATAAGTTGCTGGGTTTCAGATCTCCTAATAACATATTACTTCACAAAGAGTAGCTTACACAATTCATCATCCCATTTCCATGCATTAGCCATAGAGCAATTATGATATTTGGCGGATGAGTTCCGTTTGCCTTGTGAGTCAGCAAGATGCTAAATTTTCCGACAACTGGGAGCTTATGAGTTGATAAGGCAAAAGATGGTCAAGTAGTTGAAATGCTTACATACTTTGATCTGTTCTGCAGTTTAGGTCTCAAAGAGACAAGATTTTAAAGGTTCTTCATGATTCCGTGGTTGCCAATCTATTGATAATTCTGATTGTCTCTATTTTGTACCCTGTAATTAGATCTACAGCTTGGTTCACCATTTTTAATTTCGTGTTTTGGCCTAATCACCATTTTCAATTTCGGCTGGCAGTTGGCTTCTTCTCCATTTCTTCCTTCTTGATTCAAATTTCTCTTTCAATTTCAAATGTTTAAGTGTTGTAATTATGCAAATATAAGAAAGTGTGAAAATGATAATGCGTTAACGCACAAATAGATTTCTCATTTCCGAATATTATATTTGTACACTTTTTTTATTATGCTTTACCCGTACAATACATTATCTTCCCCTGTTAATGCTAAGATCCTATGTTGGTAGATGATGATTTTAGTGTCTGACCTGTGACAGGCAAGGATGCTGTGGTCAAAGCTAAAACTGGAACTGGGAAAAGTGTAGCTTTTTTGGTAGGATCGCTGCTCCTTTCTTATCATCATTCATTTCATCAAGTTCCACAACGCTTTTGTTTATACTCAACAGCTTCCTGCTATTGAAACAGTTTTAAAGTCACATAGCAATAAAACTCAGCGGGTGCCCCCAATATATGTTCTTATTCTTTGCCCCACAAGAGAACTTGCCAGTCAGATAGCTGCAGAAGCTAGAGCTTTGCTAAAGTACCATGATGGTATTGGTGTGCAAACACTTGTCGGAGGTGCACGTTTCAAAGATGACCAGAAACGTTTGGAATCTGAGTCATGCGAGGTTAGCCTTCATATGCATGTCCCGAATTTTTTTCTAAGTAAAGTATCATTTTTTGAGATTGGATATCTATGCAGTGTAAAAATAGACGGATGCACGTATGTAGACATTCCTTGAACTTGATGCATCAAATATAATCTCTCCTCAACCTACTGCAGATAATTGTTGCAACTCCTGGTAGGTTATTGGATCATGTAGAGAATAAATCCGGTATATCCGTGCGTCTGATGGGGCTGAAAATGCTCATAATTGATGAAGCTGACCACTTGCTAGACCTTGGATTCCGCAAAGACATGGAGAAAATTGTTGACTGTCTTCCTCGTCAAAGACAGTCTCTTCTATTGTCTGCAACCATGCCAAAAGAGGTAAAATTGATCCTTATTTCTTCTTTGGATCTTGGAATCATAGATACTCTGCTTATCATGACATTTCTGTGATTCATTATGACTGCAGGTTCGCCGGATATCTCAGCTTGTTTTAAAAAGAGAACATTCTTTCATTGACACTGTGGGTGTCGGTTGTGTGGAGACTCATGCCCAGGTAGTTTGTGGTGTTCTGCTGAATGTTGATCATCATAAGTAGTCTAAGACATCTAAATTTCTCTCTGGGTCTTGTCTCAAGCTATTAAGGTTGCCATGGTCATTCTGACGGTCACCATGAGCAGGCATATTGGTACACAGTAAATATGGAACTATGAGTGAGCCGAGATTGCCCTTTACTTGTAGTCATGTATTATATTCCAAGTGTGGGTGGTGGTTACAACACAAGCATGTGTGTTAATGATGGATTAATATACTGCCATATTTATTTCATTTCTCACTCTTTTACTATTTTCATCTGATTATGAGGAGCATGAGGATCATATTGTCTGTGTCATGTATCCATAGTTCCACTTTATGTTTGATCAATTGGACACATTTTTTACCTGTTGTTGCAGGTTAAGCAGTCTTATGTAGTTGCTCCTCATGACATGCATTTTCAAGTTGTTTATCATTTTCTCAAGGAGCATATTTTGGAGGCACCTGATTACAAGGTATCAATGGTAATATTCTTTATTTTAAGGGTTAATATCACGAAAAACCCTAAACGGTACACTTGTGACACATTTACCCCAAACTATTTTTGACCATAAAAATGTACCTGGACAGAACTATTTTTGACACCAAAACCCCAAAGAGTGACAATTTTACCTTACCAAAACCTAACCGAATATGTGACAATTTTACTGAATTAAAATTTTAATATTATATATTTTTATTTTTTCGAATTTTTATTTATTTTTATTCTTTTCTTTTCTTTTATTTTCATTTCAAACTCTGCGATCGCACGAGCGAGGCCCTCGCTAGCAAGGTATCGCAGCGAGGTCGCCTCGCGATCCGCGAGGCGACCCTCGCTGCGTCGGCGAGGGCGCCTAGGCGAGGTCGCCCTTGCCGGCCCGCCTTGGACGGCGACGCAGTTTGAAAATGAAAAAAAGAAAAGAAAGAAAAAAAAAAAAAATTCAAAAAATAAATAAATAATATTAAAAATTAGTTCGGTAAAATTGTCGTATACTTTAGGTTTTGTCAAAAAATAGTTCGGGTAAAATTGTCATTTCTGTTTTATGGTCAAAAATAGTTGGGTAAATGTGTCACAAGTGTACATTTAGGGTTTTTCGTGTATTAACCCTTATTTTAATGATGTTATTTTATACCCGTTTAACAATATCACTGTGCTCAGGTCATTGTATTCTGTACGACGGGGATGGTAACATCGCTCCTATATTTACTTCTTCGGGAAATGAAGATGAATGTTAGAGAGATGCATTCTAGGAAGCCTCAACTTTACAGAACTCGCATATATGACGAGTTTCGGGAATCAAAGCGACTGATACTTGTCACATCTGATGTTTCATCCCGTGGAATTAATTACCCCGATGTTACATTGGTCCTTCAGGTATGCTAGTAAGTTTGAGAGTCTAATATACTTTTTCTGGTTAAATAATCGAATATTTTAATTGATAGATGGCTGGTGCTATCATTGAACTTAATTTCTGAGCAAATCTTAAGGAAGGATGATCATGAATTTTGCCGGCATTTTAAGTTTGTCCGCATCGTCATTCCATCTTCTGGGAGTAATATTGAGTTCAATTCAGGTGGGTATACCCTCTGACAGAGAACAGTATATACATCGTCTTGGGAGAACAGGTCGGGAAGGGAAAGAAGGAGCGGGTATTTTGTTGCTTGCACCGTGGGAGAAATATTTCCTGGATGAAGTGAAAGATCTGCCCATTGATAGAATCCCTGTACCATCTGTGGATCCAGATGTCAAAGTCAAGGTTTTCATCTACTCCATTCTTCCTTGATACTTGTGTGCTTCTTATATGTAAATGTTGCTCATGGAACCTGATTGGAGTAGCTTTTACTTCTGCTGTCATGCTTGATAAGTTGATGTTTAAATATCCTAACCCACACTGTAATGTTAATAATATATTTCTACTCGCGTTTAGAATAAGTGATCAAAGGGACAATATAGGCTTTTCTTAGTGGGGTATCATCCTTGCAGGTAAAATTACTGACAGTTTCTTCCTTCTTCTTTCTCGGGATAAGCATAATGATTGTTTCACTCACAATCAAAAGATCAATTCCACAAATGCTTCTCTTCTGGCTTTTGACTCTCTTTTTTTTTTTTTTTAATAACAAGTTTGGCTCGCCTTCCTTCTTGTCATGCTTTAGATTATCTCTGCTGCAGATGGAGGACTCGATGGCAAAAGTTGATACAAGTGTCAAAGAAGCAGCATACCATGCTTGGCTTGGCTACTATAACTCGATCAGGGAGATTGGCAGAGACAAAACAACACTTGTAGAGCTAGCCAACCGATTCTGCGAGTCCATTGGTTTGAAAAATCCTCCTGCGCTATTCCGAAAGACAGCACTGAAAATGGGTTTAAAGGATATTTCCGGCATCCGTGTCCGCAAATGATCCTTGTCTCAGTAACGACCGAGTCTTGGATAAAGATGAAATGGCTTCTTCATGTCGATTCGGTGTCTTATTCATCTAACTTTTTTTTATGAGAGAACAGTGCTTGTCATTGATAAAGAAGAAAGTGATCAACCAGGGTTAATCAATCTGGAGACGCTGTGTTTCTGATATTGTGCTTCTTTTCTGCCAGCATGGTTGTCATCTTCGAGCTCCCTGTTTCATTTGTCCTGCCGATGTGCCATAGATTTCCTGGAAACTGTGGTAGAGCTTCTTGAGTGTGGAGCCACTAGATTTAAGAGCTATCTTGCACTTGCATTAGCGTTTAACCTTATATCAACACTTGTTAAATCGATACACAGGGCTCAATGTACTGAATGACTTCATTCATATTATGTTTATTAACCCATTCTGTGGTAGCTTGGCACTTTGAATTTAGAATTACACATTGGTGCTACTCACTTCTTTGTGCAAATTTTACTTTTTGCCGAGTGAAAGATGGGTAAACTGTGCGAACAACATACCAAAGAGATCGACTCTTTAAATTGCCCCTTTAACATATAATTTGTTCTCTTCAACTACTGATTTCTCATTACACGTGAAAAGTCTTCGTGGAGCTACCGCTTTCACAAATCAAATATCAAAATTCTCCTAAATATTGCAATTGACAAATGAATCTCTCGTTGCACACATCTTCAAAAAGTAGGAAGAGAAACGAAGATGAAGTCGACTTACATTAACGAATGAATATTCCTTCCACAAGACAACAACAGATGAATTACAGAAGCATTTGAAACCTTCAAATGTTTTCAATTCATACTTCGACTACAAGCTCACAAGGAACATGTTTGCATTCGCAAAAGAAATCTCGATGAAGAAACAAACCCGACATATTATCTAGTGTAAAAGAATGACACTGGCTCGCTCTCAGATAATCTTGTTTGAAGAGAACTCGACTTTTGGCAACAGCGAGTCCTTTTTCCAATTATAAGCCTATTTTTTCTCAAGTTTTAGAGCGGTTCCGGGCAGCATTTTGCCTCGCACAGCATCCGATGAAATAAATCACTGACTGGAGAAGTGCAATTGGTGAAAAGAAGAAAATCAGGATAAAAACAACAATTAGAACATCTAAATAAGAATTTAGAACCCTTTATCTTCTGATTCAGTTTGCCTTACCAAGAGAACGAACAGGATAACGTTGAAAATTGCAACCGCCCTCCACTGAATCCTCATATACTGAGCAACTCCAGCCCTAAGACAGCAAGTGACAGTCAGACATATCCTAACAGAGGGAGAAATAAGAAAAGCAAGCACTAAAGCAAAGAGATTTACTTGCACGAATCACAATTGTAGCACTTCACAGCTCGGGAGTTCTTATAGAGCTTGCAGTCCTTGTTGGAACTAACGGGGTGGTAGCTCAAGTCATAGTACGACGCGTTCATGCTAGGGTAACCACATCTAAGACAAAAGTAGATTCACAAGAAAAAGATTTACATCAGTTACTAACAACTTTTGCTACCAGTCATTCAAAGAATTCCAAGAAGAAACAGCATGAACTTTTTCTTTGACATAACAGCATGAACTTCCATTTCCTGATTTGTTACCTATCTTTTCAAATTCTGCAAATATAATTAGGTAAATTTGAGATGGATATCAAATCCCTATAGTAGGGGTCTATCGCAAGGAGGGGAATGAGGAAAAAGAATCTTTTACAGTTGAAAGACAACAAAGGCACATACTCAGATGGAGGTCGGCAACAACCAGCTTCAATTGGGGTTAATTTTGCTGATTTATATTGTCTGAGAGTCTGGAATCACAAAGCAGATAGTCTCAAATGATGTCAATACAATCATTTAGACCAATCAGAACCCTAAGTGACAAATTAGACCTTATATTTCTTCGATAAGTCATTGCAGTCCTCAGACTTCACAAGACAACTCTTCAAGCGCTCCCAGTTATGGGCATCGTTTAACTGAATAAAAAAGCCAAATTGAGTCTAAGTTATAACAATTAGCAGAAGAATGGCATGCAACATAATAAAGGCACGTTTAAAATACAACACTCACTTGTTTTAGAAACCATGAACTGTAATCCTGAAGTTGATACTCTTTGTACCTGAGAAGACACAGTTATGTGAATAGGGTTGTTCAACTCTGATGCTGTCAGATAAAGTAAATGAATGCTTACCTTAAACCGGCTACGCTGTGCCCCGAACCATTGTTTGTCACAATGAAGCTAAAAATGCACAAAAGTATTTCAGCATCCAAGTCAATACAGGATTAGGATAGGAAACTTGTGAAATTATTTATTTAGAATTTCAACTCAAAATTGAATCTGAAGTATTAGTATGTGAAATAGTTATTTTTCAAGCTTTGATAGAATGTACAGATCTTTTGAAAGTAAAAATTTAATAAACTTGAAAAAAGAGAATACCGGTAGCTTGTAAACTCAGTTAGCAAACCCATTTTCAAATAATGGCAGAGCATCATTCTGCTAAATTATAATAAGTTTTTCTCCCAAAATCTAAAAGCCTGCCCCAGCTCATGAAGCATAAAATACAGATCAACCATGGCTTTTGTAAGATATACTTACGCTAGCACGGTGAACACAAGGATTCCCACCAATATCAGGCATAACAATATCAAGTACTGTATAGTGTCAAGTTGAGATCATTGCAAAAGGGCAAAAAATTTTCAAGGGAAAAACAGCAGTTGTCCCTTGAGATGAAAATGTCCACTGAATGTGATAAGGATACAGCCCACAACAGTATCGAGTTGTTCTTCAATGCACCAAGAAAGCCGATTATTGATCTGAAAGTCGAAACCAACGAGCAATCCATCACATATCAGTGATAAAAAGCAATGGAGAGGAATACTAAACTAAGAATTATAGCAGATTATATTAAGAACAAGAGCAAAGAAAACTCACATTATGAATATAAATGCCCCAAGACCCAGAACAGGAAGAGTGAGGGACTTTCGGCAGTTGTCATCATGAGTACTCATCCACACGCCAAACCCTATAACAGCTATAGCCAAAAGCTGCACCAACAAGCAAACAGAGAATTCACGCCTGAATCAAGATCACACATTTCCATCCCTCTACCACTTCTGCACGGAACTTTGATATTTTCACGAAATTACTCCGGAGCACTCAGTCAATGAAGTCACCTAAAAGAACAAACGTTGCTGCAATTGCAAAATCCCTCACCGGAGCTTCAGCATACCGGACAACTAAATTACAAGTACCCAATCCGAAATAACCGATGGCTAGAAAGCCTTACAAGCGAAAAAAAGACAGGAATTTGCAGAAAATTAAAGAATGCGCACGACAAAGAGAGCAGCATTCCGAGTGACACCATGACCTAGTCACAGAAACAGTGGGAAAATGGCAAAAACATGAGCATAAGCCGTCGAAAAGTGAAGAACAAACAAATGGGTACCCTGACATTGCAAGTAAATAACATAAAGGAGGTTACTTTGAGGGGAATCCTGACTTCAAAGCCAGAAGGGAACAAAAATTATACCATAGTGATGAAGTTGATCCATCTGATGACAAACGTGCTCGTTCCGACACCCATCTATAATCTCTCTCTCTCTCTCTCTCTCTCTCTCTCTCTCTCTGAACTCGTACAACAAGAGACACAGAAAGAGAGAAACGGGTGTGCCGCTCCGGCTACGTGTAATGGAAGATGTTCCTGGGGAGCAGAAACGCCGCTTGCAGTGCAAGGGAAGAGAAAAGAGAGGCTGTTCGCTTGTGGGGTTATTTGTGGGATGGATGGAGGAGACAAGGGCATTCATGTCCAAAAGCCAAGATTACTGGCACGCGGTCGCAGCATGTCCCCTTCCCCCAACAGAGATAACAGAGGAAAAAAGAAGCATTATTGCTGATTCCACAGGGACAATCCATGTTCATGTTCTTTTATCTCTCTCCCCAGCTGCTTTTATCATCAACCAACATAACCTTTCTTCCGGTCATCACGTCAACCAATCAGCCAGGTTGACTCCTGTAATGTGACTCGGACACAAAGAGAGATCATCTCGCGTCATGCTACAGAGGAGTCAATTTGGAATCTATCCCTTTAACAGTTACGTTAAAGGTGCATTGTTTGGAAGAAATAATATGGGATGCCGCACATTAATGGAACATGATGTACCGCATCAGTCGTGTAATCGACACATGAAATACTTTTCCGCATTTGGCGAACCATTCTTCATTTTTGAGGCAGCTCACTCGGTTTTTAAATTAGATATGATCACGAGTCTTGCGATCTGACCATATCGATCAAACAACCTGTTATCATAAGTGGGTATGTAAGTTAATAAGTTGAAGTCAAATTATTTTTTTTTTACACTCGACATTCTAGCTTGGATAGCTTTCGGTGCATTTGTTAAGCAAACAATTGAGAAAAGTTCATATTTTTCAATGAAATTTTTTCTCATGTTTTAATATAATCACTATTTTGTGTTGAATAAGTGTCCGAAGAGCATTCGTTAAAAAAAACCATTTAAACCTTTCTTCTTTATAAAGCAGAAGTCGCCATTCATGTACATGATTTATATTGGATTTATACATGGTTATTTTCGCCTCACTCTCCATGTCCAATTTAATACCCAGTAGACCTTGCTTCCCTCCTTTCTTGGTCATGGAAGGTGAGTACCCCGTGCGCTGTGAATACAGGTGAGATCACCTTACAAATCCATTTTGTCACACCAAAACCACACGAACTGAAATGATAATGCCTATACACAAGAAATATCATGAGCACGGCAAAGAACAAAGCAAAATGCAGAATCACATGGACAAGCCATTTATTTTGATAATTTTCTTTTGTAACTTCGACTAAGAATTTTCGGTCCATGGGAACTTTTAGCCGGTGCAGCAACCCAGAAGCTTTCTAGGAGTATAGCCAGTGGCGCGGAACTTCGCCGCAGTTTCTTCGATCTTGAGGAAACTCTCGCCTTTCTTGGCTTCGACCATCGCCCTCTTCTCTTCCGCTGCCTTGTGAATCTCGACTATTTTGTTCTTCATCATCTCTGCATACTCAGCCTTCTTCTTCTCCAGTTTTTCCTGTAGGTCATTGCGCAAAAATATTAGCAAAAAAACCGATTTAATAGGCTCTGTTTCGGTGTTTCTTATGCTTCAGTTTAGTGTTTTATTAAGGCAATGCCGAAGACATAATTACCTCGATTTTCTTTAGTTCTGCCTCTACAGCTGCTCTTTTAGTGTTTTCCCATGATCCAATGCCTGAGAGCTTCTTATATGTCCTGTTTCAAAATTCAATCCAAGTATAATTTGAGACACCGAGCACAGAACAGGCAGTTCAGAACTCTGATTCTAATGTCATAAATGCTTTATATATAGTGAGGAATTGTGGGCTCTCACTTGTTCTCTACTTTGGTTTTCTCACTCTCCTCCCAAGCTTTGATCAAGGCCAGTCTTTTCTCCGTTTCAACTCTTGCAAGAACAGCATCTGAGAACACAGACAGTATAAGCAGAGATTGCGTAAAAGTATTCACTGTTCAAAGTGAAATCTAGGCGAATGGATGAAAAAAGAAAAAAGATGTCCAATTTTGTTAAAATAAATTTTCTCAAAATATACCTCTATCAAATGATCCCCCTGAATATTTCTCCACAGGATCTGCTACCTCTGCAAACAGCAAAATTCTAGACTAAAGACAAGATTTTTTTGCAACGGATGAATTTGGGTTTGAGTGGATGTCCAACTCTAAACAATTTTCTTGGTTCTTTCTTGTTCAAATGCTGTATCTCATGATATGTACTGTTATTATAAGACAATCAGTCCAAACTTAATCAAGATCAACCTACCAGTTTCTAACCTAGTATGAAAGGTACTTTACTCAATTTACAATCTTTCCATCATCTGCTCATCCATTCAAACATTAATATGTTCTTCTTGACATTACCTGAACATTGAAAACAATCAACAAAACTAGGACTACTGATCTTACAGCTTCCCACAATGAACCAAATTGTTTATTCAGAACCACAATCATTTGGAAAAGTAAACGAGACCATAATCCTCAAAGTTTGCGTAACATCCTCATGTGGATTACTGAGAGAGAGAGAGAGAGAGAGAGAGAGAGAGAGAGAGAGAGAGAGAGAGAGAGAGATTTTAATTACTTTGAGGGACTGCAGGTGAATATTTCTCAGCAACAGCTGATGAAACATACTTCTCAGGAGCTTCTTTTTCTTCTTGCTCAGCACGAGAAGTTCTTTCTACAGGAGGTGGTGGTGGTGGTCGTGTTGGTGGTGGGGGTGGGGGTGCCACAGATTCAGCTTTCTTCTGCTCCTCTGCCATCAGTTACTCCTTCAATTTAGCCCCCGAAACTTGTCAAAAGAAGGAAAAGAAAAAGTCGATGAAAAAGTTCCAGACACAGCAATGAAGCACTGAACCGAAAACTCAAGAGTCAAGAGAGAGGAGAAAAAAAAGGAAAGAGGCTGTTCTCGATAGTGCTGGAAACTCCTAGGTGGTTGCAAGTATGGTAAAAATAAGACAAAAGACCAAGATTTATATGGTTGATTACTCACTATTACTACCTTGGTGTGAACGTCAGAAGAAAAAATTATTGGTCCTTTTTGTTTTAGTATTTTCCTATTTTTAATACTTGGGACTTTATCAAACAGAGATGTTACATACCAAGCATGTGCCACTTGTCCTTTGACAATGGTGCAACCTTGGAAAGGAACCGTAAATTGGGTGAAAAGGTGAAACTACCCTTAGGTGCTTTTAAAGAAATTCATGAATCAATATGGTATGGTGCTAAAAAAATTAATTTTTTTTCTATTTTTAGGATATTCAATAATTAATCTCTTGCCAATAAAAGATGGATATGGTTTTGAATGCCAGAAATGCTAACTTAATGATGGTTGGTCATCATATGTTACTCCTTTATTTCCAGCTTTCCCAATAATGAGAATCAACTTAGTCATCTCGATTTCACTTTTAAAAAATCTCAATGTTTGGTCTCCTTAAGGTAAAAGTCAACGCACATTCATCCTGTAAGTCAGGAGGAAAAAGGGAAATTGCTTGAACGCCATCCTTGCTTGATGTATATTGCTTTCAGCATCGGTAAAAATCCTCGTAAAGCATATGTTTTACACCCTTAAGCAACGGGAGTCGCTAATCAAAAGATGATGCAATTAATTAGTGATGATCTCGTAGTAAAGCTTTTCCAACAAGGAGCTTCGATTTAAATAAGAAAGAAAAGAGGACAAAAATAGGTGGGGTTGGAAACTTAGCAAGATAATGACGCTTGTCATGCATGCTAAGGAAAATAGGTCGTCAGGCCCAGCATTGAGGACGGCCCTATCTCTTATTTGAGAGTAGAATGCTCAAAGCATAAGTTCTATGTGTTTAGACATATGTCTAGAGATTGAGCATCATAGAAGAGTACCTTTATGAAAAAATCATCGCAAATTATTTCCATTTTTTTGTCAATGTTATTATAGTGTGGTAGGTCTAATCATCGATGTATAGTTAAGGATGTTCAGGTCGAGACGATATTTTTTAGTTTAAGCCAAAATTGCTTTCGATTTGTTAGATTATCCCACGACGCTCATTTACGAGATTTATATGTTTTTTATATACATATGGCCTCCTTCCTATTAGCTTAAGTTTTTAAGTTGGACATTCTAACGCGGTATTAGAGCCAAGTCTTGCCCCAGTTTATCTCATGTGCAACATCTGATCATTAAATTTCATGATCAGTTGATTTGTCTGTTTTTCCTGCTAGTCCAAATTTTTTGGTTAGATTTTATATGATCCTGATTGAGGAGATACAAGGACTTTCATTTGATACTCGTCTTTTTATTGCTTGGTCAAATAATAATGCAGCTGCGACTTTGCCGATGATTGACCCATTTGGATGATGTAAGTTCATGATGACCGACGACATTGTGGGTTCGACCCATCTCTTAGAAAAAGGAAAAAAAAGATCACTCCTAATGCTTCCATGGCTACAAATTTTATTTCCTTAATAACCATGGTACAATTGTTTAGGATGAATTTTTGGGAAATTTATTGATTTGATATAGCAAAGGTGGGAAATTTAGTACCACGCAACTTGGTGCGGAAAGCCTTTCAACAACCCTAGATCTCATCTATTGCATATGCTGTCAATTTTCAAAAGATAATCTGATCATACAACACCACACAAAACTAAACGAACTAGATCCAGCCACTCTACACTAGCTAGAACCAAACGCATGATCTTATGTCGCAGTCAACGAGAGACTCTTTCAATGGTTTGTAGGCTCTGTAGTTTCTGTCCAGTATCCAAAATCACGGACAAGTCTAAGATGACCATGAAAGGAAGGAATCAAAATCCATGGTTTACCCTAGTTGTACCCTTGTCTCTTCATTGAGAAATTATTATGTGGGTTCAGTATATATATGAAATAGAACTCAAACCGTTAAAGATGACGACTCTCATCAAATCCAACAATTCAGATTGAGTCTTGTGTATATACTAAATTCATAAAATACATTCTTACGTGGATATATATGGCATCATCCTACCATTTTTTCTTTGATTTCTCAAAGATCAGGGATTAACCAATGCATGAGGACATTATAAAAAAAATGCCATCCTGTTAATTTGAGAAAAGCAACGAAATAGTTCTTCGAATTTAGGAAGTCAAATAGTATATACAAGATGCCTACATTGATATAAACTCCAACAAGCATACAAAAAAAAATGTTTTGACTGGTAAAAGCTGTCCATTGCTATGTACAGTTGAATTGAATCATGGTCCAACTTTGGGCCTCTTTGATCCCACCGTCTCGGTCTCGGATTCGACTGGACTCTCCCTTCGTTTGTTCTGTTGATCAGAAACACAAACCAAGTCCACCAGGAAATCAAACACATCGGTGCCGTGGATCGCCGACACGACGTCGTCCCTCTGGAGCGTCCTCCTCTTACCTTCTGCGGCCAACACCCACGACTTCCTGGTCAATTCCTCGATGAACAGCTCGATAGCCCTCGAGAACACGATCGGCGCCTCGCCCGAGATCATCTTCACGCCGTCGCCGGATTTCTTCATGATCTTCTTGATCCTGGCCAACGGCAATGAATGCTGCTGACTCCCGCTCCTACCACTGGATGATGATGATATTCTTGAGTATAATCCAGCTTTCCTCATTACTTATGTCCCTTTATATCTGATTCTTCGTCTTGTTTAGTATTTAGAGTTCGCCTCGGCTTGATACCGCTTTCATCGCGATCATTAATGCGAGACGACTCGTGTAATTTGGGGTGAGAGAATAACAAGCTCAAGTCCATAATATAGGAGAAAATTTGCGGAGGATGACTTATGTGATGAGCAACTGAAGAGAGTGATGGCCGGCCAAGCCATCTGTTTAATTAGGCCGGCCAAATTACAGATCATGTTCGTACTTGTTTATTATTATGACTAATGAGAAACAGGTACAAGTTTGACTGCCAATGAATCGCATTATAGAAAACCTTTGAGTAATCTTCCTTAATATAAGATGAGAGAGAAAGCTCATTTTCACGCGTACGTTCAACTCGAACGATTGCTACCGACTCTCATGTTTGTATGAGCTTCATCTCGCCCGTCGGGTTCTGGTTCTTATTCATGTCATGTCTAGGGTATTACGAAAAGGGATTGACTAAGCGGTCAAGCATTCGATCTGGAGGCGGCGCGATTCATGTTCAAATTACAACTTCTCTCGCTCGGAGCAAAATAGAAAGCCAAGTCGATCACCCTATGGACCAGAGTGTAATCTGATGCAGATGGACCGGAGGAGATCAGTTGAGACGTCGTCAAAAGTTTTAGAAGATCATACTGATAAAGCAAACACCATTCATGGCCGGATATTGGATCTATTGATTGCTTCAGAATCAGCTTCAGACCTTGCTTGAACAAGGCTCAGGGTTTGCTCGAGTCCAATAGATCCGGAACTATTACGCCGATGTCATCCCTTCCTAAAGCTTAAACCGATAGAAAACGGGTCAAACAATTTATGTATTGTATGTAAGCCATTCATTTATAAGCGCAAAATTCAACCCTACGTGATAACAGGCACGGATTGTATATGAGCAAAGTTGCGAAACCCATCACGAATAACTAATTTGAGCGGCAGTTGCTTATCATCTTCCTCAAAAACTTAAACCATTAGGAAACTGGTCGACAATTTATACATAGCATGTCACATGACAAGAACCTTATTGGTGCGTGTTAAAGCTAATTAGTATGCTAACGACGTTTAGTCGGGCCCCAAACAGAATCAAAGTGGACTTAATTTTTTTGGCATCATAAGAAGCAAAAGGCAACTTGTTGAGAAAAAATTATGAAAGCTTTCATTTACGCCAAATAAAGCTTTCGATTTTTATTTTTTTGTGCTTTTCAATCTCTATTTTGTGACAATACGTAGTTCTTGCTTGGCATGGCAATGAGCACAATTCGATCCTTTCGGCTGGGAATCAATTGCAATCCCAGGGAAATCATCGAAGTCTCTTTCCCTTTATTAAAACCCGAGATCTGGAATTAATGTAATGTCACATAGCTTTAAATTTAATCTTGATAAAAGGTCTAATCTTTGGCGACTTTCCATGCCAAACGTAGTCGTGAGGCAAGATGATGATGGCTTCATTTGATTAGTGGGGAACATTTAATGAAATCAGAAAGGCCATTGATTAGCAAGTAGATTAACAGTCCCTCTCATCCATCACCATGAGCTGGACAAAGTTTAACTGGACCATCTAGTGACCATGACCCTGTTGATCACCCGTCGTAAGTTTGGAATTAGCGCTACGTTTCTCATTCTCTATTGCATTAGCATTCGTATGACATAATTAATTATGTTCGCTTCGCGTGATTTAATACTATTCTCTCTCTGTCTCTTCTTGGGTGGGAATTAGTCATGTTTTGTTATGGTTTCACACAAGACTATTTGTCCTTGTGAAAGAATGAGGCTCGAATTGGCATGACTTGCCACCAAACACACAACGTTGGAAGTATGAGTTACGATTCAAGCACTTCAAAAATGTAGAGAGAAGCTTTTCTTCTCTAGCAACAATCCATTGAAGAAGGTGATTCTGAAAAGGGGTCGTGCCTGCACCAGTCGAGATGACAAAATAACTCGTTCCAGACCGATCCATTTGCATGTACCTAGAAAGGGAGCCGAAACTCCTACAGGGGCCTTTGCGGCCTTTCCCGATCCCGTCTAACGAGCTCTACGGATGCATTCATTATTTTAACGTATTTGTGCCCGCACGCCTTATACCCCTTATTTCCTTTGTATCTTTGTCTTCGCCAAAGGATGGAACACCTCTAGATGATTTACACCCGATAATCCGAGATCCGGATGAGGATCAAAATAGAGCATCTTAAGGACCTACTCAGGTTTGGTATCTAGCTAACATATCCGGACGACAGAAAACCAATTCGTTTAGACTTGGAGGTTGGTGGGCATGGATGGTCAAGCGGCCGAACGATGACAGCGTAAAAGGGTGGGGAGTCGGGTGTCTGCACACGCACGCAGGCTTTGACTCGGCGAGCACCACGGACGGGCTTTGTCTTCACTCTTTTTCTCACCTTGATCTCACGCACAAATCGCTTGCAATTTCGACTTTGAAGCCAAGTTATAAGCTGGAATTCAAAGCAACCCGCGTCTCCCTTACCCTCTAATGGAAGCTTTCCCTTCTCTCTCTTTCTCTCTCTCTCTCTCTCTCTCTCTCTCTCTCTCTCTCTCTCTCTCTCTCTCTCATATTCTAACATGGGATAGACTCAGTCAATCTTGCTCTTTTTTTCTGTAGTAGAGCGACATTGATTAGTGGAGAATTGAGTGACTAATCGTGCATGGTCATTAATTTTAAGCGATAAGTATTCCACGTTGTTCTCTGTGTTTTTTACGAGGCAGAAAGATTGACTATTCTAAAATAAGTTATCATCGACGAAAAATAATAACCCTAACTAAGAAATGGTTAATTAGAAAAAAAAAAAAAGCAGAACGTGTTTTGAAGGCGATGAATTGAACCAATCTAATAATTAAAAAGACAAGGTATATATGAGTTAAATCCATTTTCATTGACACAAACGAATGCGGGTGTGGATGTTTAATAAATTTGATCTGTTAAGTTTTACTAAAGCGAGGTTACAGGACACTGTTTTTGTCCATTTTATAATCTAGGAGTGCGAGCGCAAAGGCTCCAGTGTTGGAGGTCCACAGAACAAGCCCACAATCCCTACAGAACATATTAAGTCCGGCCTCTGTCTCTATTGCAGAAAGTCTAATCCAAAAGTAATTTACACGCAGTTGATAAGATTTAAACAAGTTGATTTTCAATTTTTTAGATGAAAATATTTTTGGTTGCCACATGTGAATCGAGGATATTTCTGTAGTACCATGAAGCAGAAGTATTAGTTGCTCGTGACGTTTTTTTAGGGGGGCAGGGTCCCAATTCTGCAATTCTCAATTTTTTTTTTCTATTTTTGGGTCGAGAGGATTTTAATTTATATGATCCACAAATTGTCCGTTTTCCTTACTGAGAAGCACGAAATTTATGAAACAGGCCAAGGACTGTTGGTGGGGTTCTCTTGCAGCCAAAAAGGGTCCATCGAAATGAAGCCGAATCAACCACACAAATAGAAAAAGAGGAATGCAAAGTAAATGCCATTTTAAAGAGTCAAGAATCCATTTTCATGACTATGGGACACACATAGTGCGGATGGTATGATGGTTTGATCCATTTAGAGGACCCAAAAGAAGGTGGGGGACCAATTAGCTTTTCTCACACCCTTCATTTGATTGATCAACCTTCATAATATATCGGTACGATGTTTATAAATTTCAGTACCCTACCTGCCATGTGAAATAAATCAGAATGAAAACTGGTTCCGATGCTGTGTTAGAAAGTCGAATTCGAAAGCTTAATAGCCGATAATGACATATAAAGAGCGTGTAAACCCCAAAACAGGGAATACGGGATATTTTAACGGCACCCCTCAGGTCATAAGAAGAATAATTTAACGAAAAATAATCGTATCGCGACTCTAATGGCAACATGGTAACGGGGCCTAGTGAATGAAGAAGCCACTTGTTCTTTTCATTTGTTTTTTTTTGGTGGGTTGATAAGAAGCCACTTGTTGATACTATAAAGAAGGAAATTGAAGAATGACCTTGATTTAATAATGACATGGAAGCTTCTCTCCCTCTGTAGACCTGACCTTTCCTTCCCCAGAAAGACAAAACTTTGGTCAATCTTTCTTAGCTTATAATATAACCATAACCAAAGTCAGCAAATTCATAAAAAGAAGAGGAATTGCTCCCTCTCTCTGGGTGTGAAACTGGAATGAGACTGTCACTGAGAGAGAGAGAGAGACAGAGAGAACGCTTAGAACAGAATGCACATACAGAACAAGCACAAAGACAGAGAAAGCTGCTCCTCAGATCCGTGTCTTTTGGCTCACTGACTTGCCGCGTTCCCATGTCGTAAAGGTCGCTCCTTTTTATGGTGAACTCAAGCTTACTCGTGCTATATCTCTTCAAGGAGCTGCATTGCGAATCTGGGGTCCTTTTTATTTGGCCCGCATTGACGCACTGTGTGCCTGCATTGGTGATTCTCCGGCGACCTCGAGCTTCCGGTGACCGGAGATGCCGCGGATGAGCTCCGGCGAGGGGGAGGGTGTTCGGGGCACAGAGAATGGTGGGGAAGCGAGAAGGACAAAATGAGAGAGGTGTGTGTTTGAGATTGCAGTTTCATGCAACTCCAGGTTACTCAAAACTCTCTCTCTCTCTCTCTCTCTCTCTCTCTCTCTCTCTCTCTCTCTCTCTCTCTCTCTCTCTCTCTCTATATGCAATGGCACTAGTCTGTATAAATTTGTTCAGAAATGCAAAAGAAGGTGATAACTGGAAATGGTCTCGCATCTCATAAATTTGTTAAATTTTTCTCTCTGTTTTGTTTTGGGAGACTGCATTGTCATGTTTGTAAAGCCAATGCACCCAAATTTGACCGAAAGCTCCAATTTTTTTTCCTTTTGCAAATCTTTTTGTCTCAATTTTTTGTTCTAAGCAGGCAACCCAGAAAGTCTAATTAATTAGAATCGATAAGTAAATACATAAATAGCTGTAGGTCTATGTGATTGTGTGATTGAAAAGCATTTGTGTTGAAAGTGGGAAACTGATTCAGGTGTCACAGTTTTGGTGTCAATGAATGAATGTGTCTTTGGTTCTTCCTGGTGATGCGAAAGAGCGAGTTTGAGATCAGAAAACT